GGGCTGCGGGGCTGCGTGGGAGCCGGCGGGATGGCAGGTCGCCAGCAGCAGTGAAACCCGCCCGTGGAGGTGGGCGGATCAGCGGCGGTAAACACTGCGTAGCCCAAAGTCAGCAGAGAGTCATGGACTGTGGAGGAGCAAGAGTTTTACCCTTGCCACAGGAGGAGGAAGGGAAAAAAAAAAAAATCCACCTCCTCTGGAGCTTCACTTTACACGTTTGGGTTTGGGGTTTTTTGTTGGTTTTTTTGGTTTTTTTTTTCTTGCTTTCTTTTCCCGTAAAATGGGGTGATAATAACCTCAACAGGGATTTGTTTTGAAGAAATCTGTACTGATCCTGTTGCAGCCCGTTGTATGACATCTACTTAATTCAATCTTGAGCCCAGAATATACAGCCGAGTGTTCTCCTCCAGCAGTGAATGGTAGAGGATGTATTACAGTAACCTTGAAATTACACAGCCAAATGGGGCTAACTTGTGTAACACACACTGACTAGAAAATGCTAGGCCCCGCTCGTTTAAATGTGTCATTATTAATATGATATTCATTCCTAATACTGTTTGATTTGCCATGGCCAATTATCCTTATGATATTAATTTCTTATCTTACTAGCAACAATTTGCATATGTGGCTGCCTCCTGGATTATGAAATGAACTCTCTCTCTTCAAAATCAATTACAGTAATGACTGTTTGAGCCAGTCACTTCCTATGCGGTATTCAGAACTGTGTGCTTTTGGAAATGAAAGATTGGAAGTAAAATAATTCCACTTCTAACACCTCATCTCCAACTCTGATGGCCTGGTAATGCTTTGGCTTACCAAACCAGCTTTACAAGGAACCTTGCAAGTGAGACTGAGATCAGATTCTACTTTTTAAGAGGATTTATAAACTTAAAAGATTTTTTCTCTTTAAGGCAGATAATTATTTTCCTCATTTCACTAGATGTGTGTGATAAATTAAAATGCTTGTATGAAAAGATGCTCAGTTTTAGGGTAATACTAAGGTGTAGTTTGTCCAAGTATGGAAAGGAAACTCAGCTGTGTATCTCATTCTAGAGATACACTCTTCTGAACATAATCTTTTGCTCCCGGGTACATCTGCAGCTTGCTTCTGGACTGGTAATATTAGTACCAAGGCTCAGGGGTGGGTTAACCAGATATGTCTCTCTTGGGACCTGACTCAGATATGTAGCTCCCAATTATGTGATGAGAAGAGGGATAACAAAGGGAGGACAAGCCCAGATATGTTAACAACTTTGCGTAGGTAGATATATTTTTACGCTGCACTGTGAGCAGGTAAGAGTCTATCAAAAATGCCATCAAAATGTAGCCCTTGAGGTCTGAGACTTAAGCTGTGTTCGTGCTTCCTCCCATCTTGGTCTGTAGCAGTGAGGTTAGTGCAAAGCTGCATTTTCCCACGTGATACCAAGAGATCTGTGGTGAGTTGGTGGCTGAGCCAGGGCAGGTGTCCCCTTGGTGCCATGATAGACCAGACCACACAAGGTTATTAACATTGCAAGCACAGAGAAAATCACCTAGGTGCATTTTCTGTTTCAGGCACCAGCATACAGCCGACACAACCTGCCCACCAACACAAATGAGAAACAAGCCCAAGAAATCCTCATCCGTCGGCAGCACAGCCTGCGGCAGAGTTGCAGGAAGGGAAACAGCTTACCTTGGGGTAGACCGGTACCTGTTATGTAAAATACTATTCATGTAAAAAAACGCCTCCGCTTCTCTGTAAATAAGGAAGGAGACTCCCATTTTTATATGCTTTTTGCAATAATTAAAATGGATACTTTCACCAGCGTCCCCATGCAACACCTAAGAGGAAAGAGCTCCACTTAGCATGTGGACAACATTTTTATGTCCTACCTACATTGGTCAGAAATCAACTGCTATGGGTGTAAGTAGTAAAATAAGGTAACTTGCATTGTTTTGGCACGTGCAAAACAGTAGAATCACAAAAGGCTTGATGCAAAGCCCTATCATGATACCTTGCACTGACAGTTTGGGCTCTCGATCAGTAAGAATAAAATTTGTCTGATCAAATGTAGGCATTGGACAGCATAGACATTTACAGATGGGATGATAAGTTCTTGCTGGGTATATTAATTTTATTTAAAGTTGTCACCTGGAATAGGAAAGATGAATCTTAGAAGAACATATTTCTCTTTGCTGACTGTAAAAAAAAACCCTAGGGCTATTATATCAGCTATTTTCACTGGAGCTGATGTTGAGTTCAACCTAATTCAAGCCAAGCACCGATCTTATTCACACCTCTCTAAATTTGGCTGTAAAGGTACAGAGGCACAACAGAAAAGGCATACAAACATCCCTCTTTACTGTCCCACCGAAGAAGTGTAAATTGCAGAGGCAGTCATAGGCACTGAATATATTTCTGTCTCATACACAGGCTAGAACCGCGGAAGTACGCTACCTCTCTTTGCCTCAGGGCCCCAGCCAGCACACTAGACAGAAGGCCAGACGTGTTACTTTCACAGGTAATAGAAGTGCTTTACTCTCTGTCCTGCTCCAGCAGCAAAAGAAACTTGGCTAGTTGCTCAGTGGATTTAACAGTACTAAATGATTACTCCCGTGGAAGTCCCTGGCCTCTTTAAATGAGCTACACTCTTCTCTCCTTTCATTTTTATCTGTTTTGTTGTTTGTTTGGTTTTTTTTTTTTTAATATGGTCATTACTGCAGCAGTTTCTATGTCATTCCAGCAATGCCTAGTTTCCTCTCTTTCCCTCTTGAACAAATGCAGACCCACCTTCACTTACACTCTGAGTAAGGAGACAGAAGTTAGCAACACTGAACTGCCTAGTGTCAGACAAAACATGGAATTTAGGACACTTCAATGTTTTCATTGTTTCCATCTGTAATCTTCCTGACTCCTTTTTGAGTTTATTTATGTGAACCTGAAATGCATATGGGTTCCTTAGAGAAATTAATTTTAATTTCTGGCAAAATTAACTATAGCAATTGAAACCATATTTTTAATCTTTGTATCAAAATCTTGGACAACAAAGTTTGTTTCCTGCGGGTGCAAAGTTATGTTCTTCCTTTCCTCTCTGCTTTAATTTGAAAGAGATGAAAGCAAAAGAGATCAATGTAGGCAAACCGTCCCCTTGAGGCTGAGTACCTCAATGATGGCAGCAGAACAGAAACCCGTAGGATCTATTCAAAGGGGAAAAATTGAGTTACTTAAGGTGATTTTTTTTTTCTATACAGCTGATTCTTTTTTATTCAGTTTGGCAGGACATCATGGTGGGGCATATGTGTCTTTCTAAAAGAGTCAAACTGTTCTACACAGCAGCCTCAGACCTAAAAAGCATTTCAGACACTTTCAGGAGACCAAGTCCTGCTATAGCAGACAGGCACATTATTTCAGTGGGGAGAGGACTAAATCTTGAAATGGTGAATGCAGATACATCTTTTTACTAATAGATAGGCCTGAATTTGAGCCCAATCTATCCAAATAACTAGATTTCTTGGTTTGGCTTCTAGCCCCATTTTAGGTCTTAGGCATAGCCACACCACTTTAAATGTCTGAAGCAGAAGGAAGCCACCCTAAACACCTCTCATAAACTGGGTTAGGATGAGATTAATTTCACTTGGGAAGCAAGAAGAGAAAAACTCATTATGTAGGAAATTAGAATGACAACCTCATATATCCACATACTCATTTACAGAGATAAATACCACCTTTTCTGACTATGCCTGAAAGCCTTCCTGCAGCAAGCATCCTCCACAAAGCTTGGTTCAGCTCTTACATCTAACATATGCAGAAAGTAACTAAGAGATCAGAAATGGCCACAAATAGATCCTTAAACCATCTATCAGCTCTTTCTGCCACTCATAAAAATGCATGATTTCTTTGACAGATTATATCATTCATACTTTGTAGCAGTGATGCCCCCAAAGGGCTAAGTAGAAGCCCTTCAAATCTGAAAATACCTATCCTATTTTATTGCTAATGGTGTGGTGTGCCCACATGGCCTAGCAGAAGCAGATTCTGTTGTTAAAGACATTTGTGCCCCTGTTTGGTGGTGTTAAGTGCTGGTACATGTGCTCTTACTTTGTGCCAACTGTGAAATAAATATTAGCATAATTAATTTAATAGTTACTAAGCTGCAATAACTTGATAAATTTGACTGACTATACCTAATACGTTTACTTTAACTAATTTTATTATTCATAGACCTTTATGTTTATCTCCCAAAACCTTCTAGCTTGTTATGAGCTGTTTCTTAAACTAATTAATTTGCTAGTGCATCGTCAGACTACAACTGTCTTTAAGAAAAGTGAAAGGTATATTCTGTCAACTCAACTGAATGAGAGAGGCAGCTATTGTCCTATTGCAGGCAAATTTTTATTGTGTATTTGTGGCAAAGCAAGCTGGTAGGAGCAGGTCTGACACGCCCAATGTAATCAAAGCACCCTAGAGTCAAACTCCTGGTTTCAGGTGAAACTGTTTTCCTCCCAGTTGTTAATCCCAGGTGACTATTAAACTTGATTTTCAGTGGCACTAGTGTTTTCTCCTTGGTCAATTCCTGTCTTCTGCTGTGGGTTTCACAATGTGTTTCAACCATGGTACTAGGTACACTTGTGAAATTTGCAGAAAATTGAAAGCTACATAAAGGAGCACTCTTGCCTGGTGAAGACATTAAGCAACTCTGTGAGGCACTAAAAGATAGTTGAATGTGCTTATTTGCTGGGGTTTCAGGGTCAATAAAATCAATAAAATCTTTTAAGCAATAGCTTTGGAATGAAGATATAAAATTAGGGTTAATCTTATTTCTTGACTGCTGTCTTATTCTATATCAATTCTTTAAAATGTTTCAGTTCCAGGGTTTAAAACCATAATGCTGTATTGTATTTAATACCCTTTATCTGTCCCTGTCAATACTATGGTGCTTGTCTCTCTTGTTCAAAATATGGGGGTTTTTTTGTCTGTTTTCCTTCAGATTACCACAGTAGTGGCTCTGATGCTGCGTACCCTGTAATGTTGAGACCTCAGCCCCGGCTACGGCCACTTGAAACAAAGCATCGCCAGGAAGAGCTGATTCCAATGGCACATTTGGATAAACGAGCGTGCCCATCCAATCTTTCAGGTCGAAGAGGAAATTCAGTCAGCCAGCATCGTTTCATCAGAGCAAGCAGTCTAGCTCTAATGCCAAAGTCTCGATTCACTGTTGGAGAATTAGAGAGGTATGAGTCAGAAGAAGAGACAGAAATGATGGCACCAGCCAGGCCATTAGCCATATGAGAAGCACAGAAGAGCAATGTTTGCATCTCTAGGGCCCTTTATATGCTGCTCCAGAGAAAATAACAAAGCTCTTATATGAATCAAACCACAATTTTCCTTCTGGGACCAGTGCACTTGTATCACTTTCAAGCGCTGTATCAAGGTACTTAGTGCATCAGCGAAGACTTAAATTCTTATATGTTTATATCAAGCTTTCTTTCCAACAGAATACTGCAGAAAAGAGGGCAACACAGTCTTTGTAGAGGTTTAGACATGGATTTAAACAACAGTGGTTGGGCACGTGCAGTGCTATGGGTGACTGATACTGCTTTCTTCTGTTCTGTACTGTGCCCTGCATCCAGAAGAAAAACACCAAAGGACATGCTTGGCACATGAGTGCCCAGATCGGTAACTTCAACTTGCCTAAACTTTTTGACCTCAGAGTAGCTGAGATATTCCTGGAAAGAGTTAAAAAACAGAAAGGCCTTTTTAGGGCACCTGAATATCACTGAAGATGCCTAAACAAATACTTAAATCAAAAGGATTTTTAGTGGATGTTTTCAGCACTTGGAAATCTCTTGGCATCTCACATTTTGGCTCTGCAAAAGTGCCTAAAATCAGTTGCTGTGATGGTCCATGACTCCTGCTACTTCAGCCAGTTTCAACACATAGGAACCTTTCACCTACCTGCAGTTGTTTTGGATGAATAAAGGAGGCATTCTAGTACATACAAATGTAGAAGACTCTTCAGGCAGGGGTGCTGTCAGGACGCCTTTTATTTGCAAATGTGGGATAGTAAGAATGCACACAATATTCTTGTGGTTCAGCAAGTGGGAGGCTTCATTGTAGAGCATCTAAACTCCATTCCCCACTCCTACCTTGCCAGAGGGTGCCCAAATCGGCCGACCACTCTTCATACTAAAGCTGGACCAGCACTGTAGACAGGAAACGAGAAACTGTGATAAAAGGTAAAGGGAGCCTAACTCTGTAGCTTGCTGGCTAGCAGGAAAGAGAGGCCCTGTGTTTTGCTCCCAGCTTTTTATAGGGTGTGTGCCTATATGTTGTAGAGAGAAGCATTTGCTAAAAAAAGCAGAAATAGCCTGGAGGACATGCACTGGAGCCCATGATCTCCCAACCTTCCTACAGAGCTCCCTTCCAACTCACTCTGTGTGCCCATGCTCCAGTCTCAGCGGTGGGTCTCCCTAGTGGTAGGAGAAGTGAGAAGCTCTATGGTCGAGTAATTTTGGATAAAGTCTAAAATCCCAGACACCTAGTTCCTCTGATCGAACTTCTTTCTGCAAAATGGAAGCAGCATTGCCATTCTCTTGAAACTGTAGGTGAGCTGATTTTATCCAAAGGGATGATTTGTGTCCAAAAGTTCATAAACCCACCCTTACAGCTGCACTAAACTAAAATTTACAGCTGAGAAATACTCCAAGTTCAGTCATGTTTTCTTCAAGTTTCCCTCTCTCCTCCACTCAGAGCTTGCTTAGATGCCCAACTCAAGATCCGTAAATGCTACTGCAAGACTCAGAGAGGCAAGAATTAGATAGCAGTGCAACCTTTATGTTTCACTTTTTAATATTAATATTAAGTGCTTATATGCCCTGGTCCAGAAAAAAACTTTTAAGTGTAAGTTATGACTTTGCATTTCTTACAATGGATTTATGATTCAGGACAGGTAGCATCTAAACTAATTAATTTCAAAAGCGCTATCAGAGATAAAAAATAAAAGCCTTTTTTCCCCTTTTCTCATGTTTGCGGCATTTATGTTTAATAGGTTATAATGAATTGTCTGTACTGAAATTGTACAAAGCTTTGTGAAACTTTAGTTCTGTTTGTGTTTCCTCATTGTGCCAGAGAAATTATACAACTCCCTTTTATGAAAGCAGCAGCATGTTATTAAAAGAGGGTAGGATTTGGCTTTTGTAGCAACACTGAATAAGCAAATAAATACAATTCTGTACCTGAAAATCAACAAATAAACCCAGCTCCACCAAAAGAGGAAGTTCTCCATGTAGTTTTTAAACAAGAGCCTTGTGCCAGATCTCAATCCTATACCAAGTTATACTGACGTATCATAAATATCAATGAAACATTATTTTAAGAAAAAGAATTATCATACAAAATCAGGTCTTAAATTGCATTGTGAGCCACCCAGTTGTCACATGAACTTTAATTGAGGGCAAAATCAGGCCACAGAGCTGACATAGGTGCATGGGGGTGGGGGGTGGGGGGTGACGAAGGTGTGGGTCTTGCTTCTGCATCACAAAGTCAGCAGGGGCTGGGATCTCCAAAACTGGCTAGTGGGTGATGTAGACTGCAGTCCATCCTTGGGGACAGCAATTAAGAGAAAGCGGAAATCTGAGAGGAGGGTGAAGAAGGGGTAGCGTCTCATCTTCAAAGGGAGGCTCAGGAGAGAGATTAAAAAGAGGAATTACTGTGAGCTGCAAATTCAGCATTTCCCCTTTAAGAAGATTTATCAGTAGGTTATCTGGGGGAACTGGACAGATACAAACTGTATGAGATGAGGAGGGTTAGTAGGATGCCTGGAGTGGCATGGAAAGGGACTAGATGTACATCATGAAAAAGAGGAGTCTGCAATTTGGTCAGGGTATTTTTGAAAGGCATGCTTAAAATTAATTCCCAAATTCTTTATTAAACATAAAAGTCACAGAGCATTTATATAATTACCCATTTTAAGTAAAGGGCAAAGCTTTCAATTTCTATTGACTATTTATCTTAGCACTAGAGAAAAATAATTAAGTCTTTCTAAAATGCAAGTAAAACTAGTGCACAGCTGGAGTTGAATCTCCCTGTTTTGCTTCATTCCTAATCCTTTCTCTGATGAAATCAGTGAGCCACATCTTCAGACAGTGTAAAGCCATAGAGCATGTAGAAGTTAATAGACCTCTCCCAGCTTTTGCAGTCTGGACCCCAAACTTGAAGAGTCTAGTCTATTTTTAGTTTTCTTTCCTAGCAATTAGAAAATAGGACTGGAAGAAAATTTTCTTCTGTGCCATTAGTTGCTGTTAATGGTTTTGCTGGCCATTAGCCAAGAAACAATGCTGCAGATGCCTGTATAAAATATGTTCTAATACATAAACTTGCACTGTTTATTTGTTTTATGGGTATTTCATATTTGTAGACAAATGAGTTCTTAAAGAAGCACATTGCTTATGTTTTAAATAGCAATAACTACATCAGTTTTTAATGAGTAACTTACTCTGTGTCTATAGGCTCTCAGGCCTGGTCCATAAAGAAAACTGAAGTGGTTTAGGACATGAATTTAAATCCACTGTGTGTGGGCATTCTTGAACTCTTTAACCTAGATCACATCCAGGAAACTTGTGCTGATAATTATTTAATTTTAAATTGTACTCTGATTTAAGGTGAACTGGGACAGGAAACTCATGACCAGAAGACGAAGAATTATTATTCAAAATCCAGAAAGGAAATAGGAACTCAGAGAATTAAGACTATTTCCTTGGGGCAGGAGGATAATGCAGGACAGGTGAGTGTCAGGAAGGAATAATAATGAATAGCCTGTACTTTTGACAGTGGAGAAAATAGGAGATACACCTCGTCATGGTTTAACCCCAACCGGCAACTAAGCACCATGCAGCTGCTCATTCACCCCTTCTCCTGTGGGATGGCGGAGAGAATCAGAACAATAAAAGTGAGAGAACTTGTATTTTAGATAGACAATTTAATAGATAAAGCAAAAGCCATGTGTGCAAGCAAAACAAAACAAGGAATTCATTCACTGTTTCCCATTGACAGGGAGGTGCTCAGCCATCTCCAGGGAAGCAGGGCTCCATCATGCGTAACAGTGACTTGGGAAAACAAACACCACCACTCTGAATGTCCCCTCCTTCCTTCTTCTTCTCCCAGCTTTTATTGCTGAGCACAACATCACATGGTATGGCATATCCCTCTGGTCAGCTGGGGTCAACTGTCCCAGCTGTGTCCCCTCCCAACTTCTTGTGTACCCCCAGCCTCCTCGCTGGTGGGGTGGTGTGACAAGCAGAAAAGGCCTCGACTGTGTGTAAACACTGCTCAGCAATAACGAAAACATACCTGTGTTATCAATCAACACCGTTTTCAGCACAAATCCAAAACATAGCCCCATATGAGCTACTATGAAGAAAATTAACTCTACCCCAGCCAAAACCAGCACACACTGGAACACAACTTGCTAACCAGTGAGATAAATAAAAAAATAATGAGAACAGTCATAATGAGAAAATATTTTAATAGTAAAAGCAACTATGGTCAAACAGAATATTGCAGGAAAAAGGGAGGGAGTTATCAAGGTCAATAGTACATTGTGAGCAACCAGCAATACTTTCATGTTTATTGCATGGTGTGATTAAGTGTTAGATCCTGTTCTTACTCTAGCTGTTACTCTTCAACTAATATCCCAGGCAAGTAGGAATGTGTAGTAAAAGGAGAATCTCTTTCTCAGAGAGCTTACCATCAAGGACACAGCAGCGAGGGGAGCACTGGCAATGGGGACATGATAGCAGCTAGCACAGGCAGTGCTCAAGCTGTGACCTCCAGAAATACCAGCTACCAGAGTGTACTGGCAGAAGGCATTGCCACGGTCCCCCTTCCAGGAGGAATGGTGCCCACTGGGAGTGTCTGCAACTGCATAGTCAGGGCTGCCACTGCTGTCTGTATGGCACCTGGGGGAACAACATGCTGGCTTCATGGTAATGCCAGCGAGCGGGACAGGGAGGACTTAAAAGCAGTTTGTGTGTCACACTAAGGGAGGACTCTGGTGAAGGAGTGCAGAAGCAGGGGGATAATTCACCTTTTAACATGGCTCAAAACTCGAGTGGAGCAGGCATGTGTCCATCAAAGCCAGAGAGAAGAAGCTCTAACAGATGGAAAACAGCAAATGTTTCAGCAGGAGCTCTAGATGGACTGATTTACTGCTCTGTGTGTGGGCCAAGAAAGTAGGCCAACTTAAAAGTCAAAAGTTAGTTCAGATGTGTGTAGAGCAATTACAGAAGGTTATATGAGATTCAGAAAAGTAGGCCAGGGTTTCTGGCTGGAGACACTGGTAAAGAAGTAACCGTGACCATCTTCAGCACAAGAAGGATAGCTTAATCCATTTTTACGAGTAAAGTAGTCAGAGAAAGAGGGCCAGTGTTATCTGCAGGCAAAATCAAATTGCTGTGGATGAAAGATTCGACTTTTATGTAACAGCAGGTGAAAATAATTGTGAAATAATCTTATTTTCTTGCTGGTATGTTGGTTTTGAGAACTGACACTTTAAGGTTTTTTCTGCAGCCATTTAACCCTGAAAATTCATGTTTTATTGTTATGTATGAATGGAAAACACTATTTAAAAGCCTGTGGGAAACTGTGGAAAATATAACAAATATTTCCAAGATTTCTTTCTTCATAGGTACTTTTTCTAATTTTCTATTTACATATGTGGATAAAACACAAACATTAAGAGTGGAAAAACAGATTACCTTATCTTTATATTTTGTTTGCTTTTTAGGTAGGACAATTACGTTTATTGCTTTGCCAAGCTCACTGTACTTAAGAACCTTAAAATTAGAAGTGTAAGGTAACATGAATAATAATCTGAACCAGTTGAGAGGACAGGAAATCTATTGAGCTCAGTTACCTAATATATTTCCTTTTGAGAATCTGTCTCAATGTTAATCACAAGTGAAACTCCTTTTTCTTTCCTGCTTTCGTTTCATGGGTGTGAAATTTCAAAAGCTAATATCGGTTCTTGTTTATTTCTAGTTCATCCTTTCTCCTGGAAAAAATCAAGTTTCTACTACCTTTCAGTCATAAGGAATGAGACATGAACTGAAGGAAAAAATGCCAAGCTCTTATTTTCAGTGTTTTCTTTCTTTGGCAAGGTAAATTGAAGCCACATCCATAGTGAAGAGCTGGTCAGGAGTAGACACCAAACTGAGCATCACCCCTGACTCTTTTCTACTGTCCTTGTGGGAGCAGTCTAGGAAAAAAGAAGTATCTGTCAAGAATAGCCACAGTAAGCTAGGGGAACAGGTATTAGTCATCTGCAACATCACTATTACACATACAAACACAGGTTGGATCATTGGACATCTGCTCATCACTTTCCCACCAGTAACTTATTCTGATAAATACAAAATTATCCTAAAAGAATCTTGAATTTAAACCACATTTTTTTGCTGGCATGTATGTCAGGTATTAATTTAGACTCGTTAGTTGGTACTGGACCTAAAACCGTTTGCTCCTTGCTCTACTGCATTATCAGCAGTGATAAGGGGTGAAAACAGTGAGTTATGCACAAATGTCAAAATAAAATCGCTCTTATTTTTTTAAGGAATAAAACCTATAGCACTCTAGCTAGCTTTATCCATGCCTTCATTTAATTTCCCATCACAGAAGCTTGCACTGGGTGAGAAAACAATATATAAATGGAAGTCAGCTCCCCAAATATATTCATCTTCAATATTACAATGATGATGAATATTGATAATACATGCAGGTGCACACTGTCTTCCAGTTGCTGTGTGAACACAAGGCACAGACAGAGGCAGGGCATCCTGAGAATTATGCCAGTGTTAAAATCCCATGTGAAAGGTGGAGAAACTTGCACAAAGCAAATGAGCCGTGTGTACACATAACACAGGAACAGTGCCAGGAACAGAACATGAGACCCTGGTCCCTTGACCCCAAGTCTACCTTTACTTCCCTTAGGCTTTCAGATGACTGAAACCAATGGAAAGGAACAAATGAACAGTCTGAAACTGTTCATTGAGATCTCACCACAAAAAAGGAACAATCCACACAGAAATAACATGCTTTGTGCACTGCTTCAAGCCAGGCATCAGAACCTGCTGTTTACAAATACTCAGTGTCCTAAAAGACATCATAAAATTTTGCCATATTTAAGGTATATGTATAAAATGTGTAATGTAAAAAAGATGTAATTCTTCACTTACTTTAGTACATTCACTGTTGTTCCTTTCAAAAATATACATAACTTCTG